ATTTTTTGGCTGCAATTTGGGTAACTCGGGAACTAAGAAAGCTGGGAACTTGGGATTTCAAGGGAATGTTCCCTGTCCAACTATAGCGTGGATAATTAAGCTCCCGAAACTCGAGGACCAGTATGTACAAGAGGTTTTTAACTAGCGGAATTTCGAGTAATCTTTTTACAGCGCGAACCACTGCAAAAACGCATAATCGCACGGGGCCCCCCAGTGAGCGTCGCCAATGATTTTTAGATCAAATCAGTAGATCACATGCGGATTATCTGCGTTACTGGTCATTGCAGACTCAAATTATCATAAAGATGGCTTCATTTGATGTGATGAGTACGTATAGTGGTTTCTGAGCAAGTATTTATGTTCTTCCGCTACGAATCGTGAGAATCCGATCTTGGATGCCCGATGCGACTGCTGTTTTGCTGCTGTTGTGATAAAGCAGATCTATACTTTAATCATTTTATGCGTCATATCTGGCCCAGATGGACTCTTGAAAGCTAGTCAGAGAGACGTACTTACGTTAAAATTGTGCCGTGACTTACGTTAAAATTTCTAATTTAGCCCAAATTCTTCCACCGTTTCCTCAAAACGGGGATTTGGTGTTTGAGTAATGTTGTGATTAAAATCACGTAATATTAGTTTCCGTCTCTCTTCCGCAGAACATCTCGCTAGAGATGACCGAATGGTACCACTGTTACTCCGGAACTTGCGTATACTCCTGCAATGAGCATACTGCGTACTTTTAAAACAGTTGCATCTACCCGGTTCTCATTTTCTCCAATTCTTGTGGAGGCTGGGTCGCAGACATCACTCAGCAGTCGCTGCGATACCAAGCACAATGCTTCGCAAGCTCTTCTCGCCGATCCTGTGCAGTCAACACGTGCAACCGTCTTGTAACCGCTGATGCTGATTTCATCTGCAGCATTATTCAAATCCCTCCGAGGATTATGACGTTGCTTGCTGTGTAGACGGTGTCATTCTCTACCTGGCCGCGGTACTTTGCAAAGCTCTGTGTATTGTGATATACAATCTGAACAGCGGAGCGTTCTGTTCGGAGAAATTTGAAGTGAGGCTGAAGTAAGCAGTGTCCTGTCGACTCAGTTCAGCTCGCAGTGGATATTTGGATGCGGCTGGCGAGGCGTGGTGGATGTGCCAATTATGTACAGGCCAGAGAGTGACGTAACCTTGGACAGCGCTACGTACAGCAAAGCCCGAGTCATTCGCCGTGTGATATGAACGAAGACAGAGGAATACGTCTGTCCTTGGCTCTTATGAATTGTTATTGCTTCCGCTGCTATCAGTGGAAATTGTTTGCGTAGCACCTGCAAGTTTGACGACTTGCTGCGTTTTATTGTGGCCGTTGCTGGCTCTAACGGTGTCCAATCAGGTGGATATTGCATGCACCTGATGATAGCGCTTAATCTCCTACGCATTTTGCTTTCCGCCTCTGGCTCGTCAAACACCATCCAGACACGCAGTGGCTTCGGTGGACCATGCTGTCCCGGCCGTGGTGAGGGAGGTTGAGTTCTCGAAACGGAAGGATGAGGCATCCATCCCCAGGTAC